ACAACTAAGGGATGTCCTATATACACAACTATAGGGAGTCATACACAACTAAGGGGAGTAAGACACAACTAAGGGATGTCCACTATACACAACTAAGGGGAGTCAGACACAACTTCAGCAGTGTTAAAGGTTCATGACCAAACACATATACTGTATGTAGAATATCATACTTGGTGTTATAGGCTGTGAAGTATCAGTTGACACTTATGGTGGGATAGGAGGACTTGTGTTGCTGAAGGAGGTGGGCCACGATGTGTTGTGCTGAATGAGGTGGTTCTGAAGTATGGTGCTGCAGGATGATGATCGGTGTTGAATCAACCAATCACATGCCATCTTTCAGCTATTGGATTCACAAAAAGGACATTTTTAGCAATGACACTTATTGTGTATGATATTTTAATGCACAAAAAATATATCAAGTAGTGTACAGTACTATCATTTTAAGGCCACAAAACAATTTATAAAAAATATACAGTATAGTCTGGATTTACGCGGTTTAAACGTCTGGTCATTTACGCAGTGCCTTTCCAGAATGAAATGTTTTAATTACGCGGTAAATTTCATCATTTACGCTGGAAGCGGCGCGAGCAGGGTGCGCTCAAGGTCGCCCAGTCATCAAAACATTACCGAGTTCTTCACCCGTCACCCACCACAGCCGGTCCAAGTCAGTGATAGTGAGTTAATGGACTTTGAGGGATTTGACAAAGAGGCCCTGCAAGCCTCTGTGGTGGATAGTGATGCAATTGATACAGGTGAGGGCCAATAATCTGCTCTCTGCCTCGGAACCAACCCCCCATCCCCGTGTGCCCAGCCATGTTTTCTACTAACGTAAGTGTTAAAAACCTAATATTATTGATATTTCTCTTAAATATTAATTGTGTGTGCACACCACCATAAAATTAAGATGTTATTTTTACTACAACGTACGTATTGTGTCGGAAAAAGTGGAGTTTGGGAGTCGGCCCAGTCTGTATTTCAATTAATCCCATATGTTCTGTTATTTCGTTTACGCGTTTCTCGTTTTACGTGGACCTCCACGGGTTCAATTGACCGAGTTAATGCAGATTATACTGTATTTTAAAACACCAAGTACAAATGAAAATGGATTAAACTTACATTACTGCATAACTATTTTGTAGAGGCAAAAAATAAATCCAATAATTAGACCACATATTTTGTTATAAAACTTACTAAGAGAAAAGATGTTATACTTTTATGCATAAATAATGAGCACCAGTCAAGCACATTAACTTGTCACCTAATAAACTTGATAGAGGTTGATTTTGCAGTTCTGTGCAAGGCTAACCAGGGATGTGATTGGGTCTTGAAAAAAAAATCGAGTTGGGGAGGACCGGGGAAACACCTACCTGGGAAGTTTGTACCATATTTAACTTAATTTCTCACATTGTTACTCATTTTGTGAGCACCTAATATTTAAAATAAACAGTACCCAAACATTTATGTTTATTGCAACAATATTTTTCATGCATATAGTATTAATAGTTCCTTAATTTTTTTAGTTCTTATTAAACTTGAAGATAAACTAAAAGGTAAGCTTTTTTGCACTGTATTGTGTGAGAATTAAAAATTTAATTCAGTACTTACCAAAGTGATTTCTCTCTAATACACTTGCAACTGGGGTTTCAACAGCATAATACCTAAGTACTAAAATAAAAAAAATAAGCTTATTTCATAATATAAACAAACTACCAGTATTTAGTTTTCTTCCACATGTAATATTCACTAATTTGGTTTAGTTTTATTCTTAGTTTTAATTGCATCAGCTAGTTTTTTCAGGGAGAGAAAACGCTTGTTTCTGTTAAGCCTCTCTGCTCTTCCTTGATTTTTGAGCCATTTCCTCACACTCTGTTTTCTTTGATTTTAACTGTTTCTTTAAGAAAAATTTCCCCTTATTTTCTACCTGCTACAACCGCTTCTGCTTTAAAATGTTTCTATACCTACTGCTGGAGAGTCATGTTCCTACACATCATATGGTTCCCCCTCCTGGGGGGATACACACATGCTCTACAACCTTGACCTCCTGGGAGACACACACACACATGCCCTACAGCCCTGACCTCCTGGGACACACACACACACACACACATGCCCTACAGTCCTGACCTCCTGGGAGACACACACACACACACCTGCCTACAGCCCTGACCTCCTGGGACACACATGCCCCACAGTCCTGACCTCCTGGGGACACAAATATACATGCCCTACAGCCCCTGACCTCTGGGAGACACACACACACATGTCCCAGCCCTGACCTCCTGGGGACACACACCCTACAGCCCCTGACCTCCTGGGACACACACACACACATGCCCTACAGTCCTGACCTCCTGGGGGACACACACATGCCCTACAGCCCTGACCTGGGGGACCAAACATGCCTTACAGCCTTGACCTCCTGGGACACACACACATGCCCTACAGCCCTGACCTCCTGGGGGACATATACATGCCCTACATGGAGGGACACACACATGTCCTACAGTCCTGACCTCCTGGGAGACACAAATACACATGCCCTACAGCCCTGACCTCCTGGGACACACACACGTCTTACAACCCTGACCTCCTGGGACACACACACGTCCTACAGCCCTGACCTCCTGGGACACACACACACACGTCCTACAGTCCTGACCTCCTGGGACACACACAAATGCCCTACAGCCCTGACCCCCTGGGACAAACACACACACATGTTCTACAGTCCTGACCTCCTGGGGAACACAAACGCACCCTACTGATATGCCTATAAAACTATGAAATATGTCAGGGGTTATAGAATAAACTGTGATCATCAGAAAGTGTAAAATTATTATAGAAACTTAGTTATATTGAAAAATGCTCAGCTCCCCCCCCCCCGAGGGTGGATCAAGTGGATAGGGTGAAGGGTGCATATTACAATGCTTCTAATAGTGGCATTGAATGACATCATTGATCTTTGATCAATGAAATACTAATGAACCGAAGAATGGAATGCATAACAAGCAATACTCAGCCAATGAGAAATAGAGTATACGATGTAATGCTTGAACATATAGTGCAGCCACTATACTCAGTATACTGACTCATCGTCCTCGAGCAACAGACCCATTTATCCTAGAGGGTCAATTACTGTTATTGGCAAACATTTTTATCGTCATGGCCCCCCCTCCCCCCCAAAAAAACATTCTCAACGGATATATGCGATTCACTTGGGTCACCTGAAACGATGGGGAAAAAAACGGAAAACCAAAGAAATCACATCCCTGTAAATTCCAAGCCAGTGACAGCTGATCTATGTCCATGGTTGAGTTTATCACTGACCTTGGTTGTGATCCCAGCTGTGACTGTGTTGCAGGAGGAGATTTGGGGACAGTAATTGGATGCTGTCCATGTTCAATAAACCATGGTTTAAAATTTCTGGACAGCAGTAGCCTTGTGGAGAGCCTCCCTACGTAATCTTCTTATTTCCATCGCTGCTCTGACACCTGCCTCTCCTCTTGCTGTAAAATAATAATAATATACAGCATATATTTGCACTGTACATACCATACACTTTCCTGAGCTATTGCAATTATTAAAGAATGGGTTCACCATACTACCCAATATACTAAAATTTTACCTTTGACCTTCATAGTTAACCAGGTCTAACCATCGTAGTTTTAAACAACTTCCCCGAAGAACCCACAAGAAGGATTCACTCCTTCAAGCAATATAGTTTTAAACAGCCCAACCCCTTACCCTCTGTGCAGGGCCCCTTCACTGCCAGTTCATAGACCTCATCCATGACTGGTACAAGGACTACAAGCCTGACAACTAACAAAGTTTCCATGACGATCTGATAGATAGGACTTATACATACTACTTCACCAACAATGCTTCCCCCTAAAAAAGGAGAAAACGTGGTCAGCATAATGGGAACAGGCAACAGCAGTGCTATAATGACCCTGAGCTGAAAAAACTCAGGGCTAGTAAGGAGCAAAGTGGGCTCATGTGTCTAGCTATGACATGTTACCAGCTAGGACTCGGGGACTCCTTAATTCGAAGTCTATAGAGAGAAGTAATCTTATTAACTTTATGCTGGGCAAACAGCACGATGAGTGTGATGTTCCATATACTGATTGGGAGCTTGACGCCGCCCTCGCCAGGGGTAAGTCTACTTTCCCTGGAGAGGACGGAGTCACCTACAACATCGTTAGACTACTAAGGCGTGTGCCAGGCAATCCATTATTGGTATTGTACAATATGAGTAATGCCGAGGGCCAACTACCCACATCATGGACCAGCAGTATTGTTGTACCAATACAGAAACCAGGACAGCCTGATGCTTTTCGTCCCATATCACTAACCAGCTGCCTGTGTAAAACCTTTGAGAGGATGGTTCTTGGCAGACTCTTATATAGAATCAGAGAACACATGTCTCCTAACATAAATGGCTTCACCCATGGTAAAGGTGCACATAATTGCATCACCACAGTCCTAACTGTGCATGGTAATGAAAGGCACAGACACACCACATTTCTTGACCTAAAAACTGCATTTGATATTGCCAATAGGCAACTGATATTGTACGAACTAGCCAAAATGGATATAGGAGGTAGGCTGTTACACTGGATAAGTGGTTACCTAACCAACAGAAGGGCTGCTGCACTGCTTCAGGGTTACAAAAGTGAAGTTAAAGATATGCAACTTGGTACCCCTCAAGGTGGAGTACTTAGCCCCACTTTGTTCAATATTCTTATGAATGCATTATTAAATTTATTATTATTCTTATACATACTAAAACTCATCGTGAAATGCAAACCACCCTGAACCATGTAACGCAGCCTGTGAGAACTTTGGTCTTATTATCTCCACTGAGAAAACTAAGGTGTTCAACAAGCAAGCTGGTAACCGCTAATGCGGCCCCGCCAAGTTCAAGATAGGTAACAACACTATTGACTATGTTTCTTCTTTTAAATATCTTGGTGTTTCCGTCCCTTGTATCCTACCTGCCATACAACAGCTAACCCGCCAATGTACTGACAGACTGAGACCTCTTAGAAGTGTAGCGGGGTATGGCCCACACTATGGTGCTAATATTAGAATTGTTAAAACAATGTATACCTAGGCTATATAAGATCTTTGATAGATTACCACACACCACCCCTCGTCCTTCATGACGGGAAAGGCGTTGACAAGCTCGAGAAAATGCAAAATAAAGCCCTCAGAATTATCCTAGGATGTCCCATGAACACTAAAGTATTTAATATGAGGAAAGAACTAGGTATACCCATTGTTAAAGATAGAATAATTGAAGTCAACCTCATGATAGCCCTGAGGCTTCTGCATGGTGATCCTGATAACATTGTTTCCTTAAAATTGCTAGAATGTATGAGCCATGGGACTAGTGAGTCTAAATGGATCCAAACTACAGCTACACAGATGAAGATGTTTGGACTAGACCACCTGTACAAAGTTGAGACACAACAGCACTTCCTGCCACCCTGGCGGACAGTTCCCTTCGATATCACAATACCGACATATCCACCTAAAAATTAAATTATACAAAGTATTTATCTCCAACACACTGCCAAATTGAGAGCTCTTGAAAATACACACACTCTACAGACTGATAATAATATCACACAGACCATCTACACTGATGGATCTCTTAACACCGCCTGTGGGAGGGCTGGAAGTGCTATTGTTGTGACTCAACCTGACAGTAATATAATTGACACAGGAGTTAGAATTAACAACTGGGCATCCACTCTACAAACTGAATTAGTTGCCATACTCACATCTATTAAATTCATTGAAACCACTGTCACTGACAGTCTCATCATCACTGACTCTTTATCCTCACTACTTGCCCTTGACACCCTCGACTCAAGTTGTCACACTCTTGTCTCTGAAGCCAGACACAAACATGCATGCCTTGTTGACCGGGGTGTCAGGGTCAAACTGTTGTGGATCCCCTCTCACATAGGCCTCAAAGAACATACAGAGTTGATGCCCTCGCCAAACAAACACACCGTTGAATACAATTTGGGTCTGTCAAAAAGAACCCTTAAAACTGTAATTAGGAAAGAACTTATTGATGAGTTTGACGCAAGTAGACTAGTACAAACAGGCACTAGTCGATCCATAGTTTGCCATGATGAGATGTATCAGGTGAAACATGTACATGGAGCAAGTAACAAGATCACTAGATTACAAGATGTTGTTACCGCTAGATTAAGGTTAGGATATAAGTACCTCTGGCAGTATGTTCCTCAAGCAGATGTAAACAAGATTAAATGTAAAGTGTGTGGCCATACATATGGCCACACACTTGAACACTACGTCCTCGACTGTGTGAAGATAGAACCTTTTAGGGACAGGTCCAAGCACACTGTGTGTGAAATGGCACAACGCTTCATCTCTAATAGCAAGATAGCAGATAGATCAAGATTGTATCCACATTTTTGCACTAAGTAACTACATCAGCTCTCGTGTACAGAACCAAAAACAATGTGCTTGAATACTTCTCACGTAAATGTGAATAAACAGTGTGTGAGGCCAGACATACTGCCTCACACGCCTGTACTCATGCATTTGTGAATAAGTTACCCTTTATGTATAGAACAAAACAAATAATGTAATTTAAATACTGTGTAACATTCAGTGCCATAATATCCTGACAACGGGGGTTAATTATTATGACCCGTTGTAAACTCTACTCTGTAATCCTTTTGCGCTACCTATCACAGGATGAGTGTGGGGTGCACAATAAAGTAGCCGCTGTAAGCGGCAAAATCAAACCCTTCACTGATGCCATTATGGGTCATCCTACGCATATGGTTGATATGCCAGATGTGCAACTGTTTATAAACGTTGGTGCGAACACAGGAGTCTGGTGACGATATGACAGCTAGAAAGTTGAGTAAATTATCTTAAATGTGCTTACAGTGGTTTATTAATAAAGAAATTAAAAGTTTGGTGACAATGTCTTCCATGGGATTTTGACTATCAAATTTATGATTTCTAGTCCAGAAACTCGCCAAATTATGCTTTTCGGAAGAACTCGCTTACTAAACAGCTAAAAAGTTGAGAAAAAAATGATCTTCAGTGTGCTCACATGATTAGCAACAGCATTGGTAAGATGAAGCATCTCCAACAGCTAAATGGTCAAGCCCTTGCTGGTACTGTAGACAAGTCACAAGTCTATTGAAAACTTCATAATATAGCTAGTGAGAAAAAATGGACTGATGGTTGAAAAAACATAATTAAGTCACTTTTAAGTGACTACGTACCAGTACAGTACTATAATTATGTACCCTGCCAACCAATATCTCTAGAAAGGGGGTAAAGAATTACAATTATCTGAGGCTGGTTTCACAGAGATGTCATGACACGACGGCATCAGTCATGCACAACTTGTCAACCTCCTACATCCAGTGACTCCAAATAAACAGCTTAATAAACCTTTTACCAATGTCTATACGTATTTCAGAAAATCTTACACACAAAAAAATGAATCTTGCAAAACTATTAACAAACTCACTCAAAATTTACTCGAGTCAACAGTGCAATCCTACCTCATACACCACAACTAATATACCAGGGGTAAAAATTCACATACGCCCAGCTGCCCGAGGCGACCAAAATAACAGAAGGGTGAGCAGACCTTAGAAATTTACTGGTTTTTAATCGCCCAGCAAACGACAAGCATGTCAGACTGGCAATGTCTAGGAGCTATCCAGTAGTTTTGAAAAAAAAAAAATATTTATAGCAGTCTATTTTACCATAAGGATGTGCTTAGTGCCCAGTTTATATAAAACATTGCAAGAACAGGTTGAGATACATTCAAGAGCTAGTGCATGCCCAGTACCTCCCAACAGTGCGTAACAAAGACGTGACCAACCGCTCAAGTGCAGATCAGTGGTGAAGAGGATACAAGAAAAAGATAGAAAAAGAAGGTTGGATTGCCCGGACTGTATAACCTGAGACGACACACCACCCACAATCATTCCAATAACTAGTAATAAAAATAAAACGGGTATTTAGCTGGAGAAATAAACTTTTGACTTTAATTATTATTATTACTATTATTAATTTACGCTTGGAGCATTTCTATTTAATGCTAACTTTCCTCTTTCATCACGTGGGTAACATCCGGTGTAAATAATTGCCACATTACACCAGACGAATATCGTTACCACAAGTTAAAATCAATTTATAATTTAGATTCAAATAATTCAATATAACAGAATTTATATGATGTTTATTATAATATAAATCAATAATATGATCAACTATTAAATAAGCAGGAACACATTTTTTTAGTAAAATGGTGACCTCCAGCAGTTTTCATCGATCCCACTACTGGGCTCGAGCGAGCGGAGACCATGATTCAGTAAGTTTCCTGACTTCCAAGGAGTGTGAATATTCACCTCCACCATATAACACAAATAACGAGTTTGTGGCAGTGGCTGGCTATACTGTGACAAACATAAGATCTCCAGTGCACAAGTTTCCTCATGTCACTGTTTACAGAAAAGAAACCTGTTGCGTTTGTGACACGAGTGGAGACCTTCAGTGCATGTCATAGGCTCCACAGGTGAGGCTTAGAACGCACGCACCACAACTCGCATCTCAGATCTGGTGTCTGATATTACGTCACTAAAACCGTGCTTCACTAACTACGAAAACGTACTATACCGGTACATAATTCTTGTATTAGCTCAAACACAACAAAAATACATACACGATTAAAAACCTCCACTCGGATTATGTCCCGATACTATTATGAAGGAATAGCAATATGCCACAAATGTTTTTTTTTTAATTTCACTCCACGTACGGGTGGCGCCAACCTTAGCAACTGGTGCATATTAATGGATTTGAAAGTGACAGCAGCACCAGTCTCCCCAACAGAAAATGCTATATAATTATACTACCACATCGGGTTTACAAGGCAGGTTAAGTATGTCCCAGAAAATACCAACAAGTGCAATTCCAGTTATCACTTCTTAATTGGGAAGATCTTGTGTCGAAACTATAGACTTTCCATATCATTAAAGTGTCGTTGTTTCGCGTGCTTGAACATAAAAACTGGCACTCACAAATTTGGCTGCATTAGTCAGGCCCGTGCCTGTCGTTCCAGACTGTGTGGACATGAGTGACCAAACGACAAAACGCCCGTATCATCATTGGGTATGACTTTGCTTGGGAGATTGGTATCCCTGCATCCCCTGAGCAACGCTCTTGTGCATTATGCAGAAGACCCGACAGCCGCACCCTTATCCACTACCTCCTAAGATGTCCCCACACACAACGCTTCCGTGACGCCTGCTGGACCACCACTCCACGACCCCCTGACGGAGACACGATGATCCTCCCCATACTGGCCAGACATTTTGTAAATAATATTGATTATGTGTTAAAGGAATATCCTTCCCTTTTTAATATTGATACTGTATATACTTGTCACACTTGCCAGATGCTTCTGGTGTCATTGTACAGGGGTACCTAGTGACAGCACTAGGATCCCGCTTCCTCTATCAAGGAATAAACAATTGAAATTGAAAACGACAAAACGCCAATCTAATGAACACAATGGCCCAAAATATATACTGTCAAGCCTATTTACATCAATTTATAATGTTTATTACACAATTTCGCCATTTTGATAATATATTATTCACAGGCACTTCTAAAGTATCTGCAGTAATTTGAAGAAAAAAGTCTATGACCTTCAGCAATCCTGTTTTGAAATTTTAATAACGCCCTTGGACAACCAGCTCACGAAAATGTGTTGACAATGACGCCAAACATCGATTATTTAAATAAATGTACAAGCTAGAGAGAAGTAGGTTATATTGGTTTTGTATACACAAAACCCCCTTATTTATGATTTTAAAGTTAATAAAATACTACAATGACCTGAGGGTAGAAACGGAGGGCGAGCGAGGGCGTAACCCTATCCTGAGAGAGCGAGTTGTGGGAAGTTGATATGTCCCGTTCCGACCACTAAACATGATTTGTCTGGTGGGGTGGTCGTCAGGGGGCTCATATTTGGTCACTATGGAAGATGCGCGTGTGTGTGTTTTGTATCTTGGCCTACCAGTATACATTTGCAATAATACGGTACAGTACTATGATACATGTGAATGGGCGGATTACTCTCCCGATTCCCGGAGTTCAGTCCTGGTCATTTTTGATGATAATAGACTAAATATTTTTACTTTCAATTATATTTTATCTTAAAATTTTCATACGTAACCATTACATTATGTGTTCCAACAGTAAGCAGCTTGATGATGGGGAGAACAAACGAATCTTCGGGAAATGTAACAACCCTAATGGCCATGGACATAATTATAAAGGTGAGACATTCGACATCATAACTACAACTACATATACCACATTCCACATGAGATTTTGTATATAGCTTTGCCCTTTATAGAACGAAGTCCAATATATTTTAAGTTTCTCATATAATAACATTACAGTATAGAGGTCTCGATAGCTATATAAATTACAGTGTAGTGTCGTTGAGATGCAACGATACAGTATTATCTAACTGTGTGGTGATTTTTTTGTATCATTCAACTTCAAACGTCACAAAGACAGGTGGTTAATTACAGTGGAGGTGACGGTGCGTGGACCAGTGAATGCTGTGACTGGGATGGTCATGAATGTGGTTGATTTGAAAGGTATCATCAACTCAGTGGTGATGGATGTGATGGACCACAAACACTTGGACTATGATGTTCCAGTCTTCAGGTAATGTCTGGATAAAAACATATGTAGAGTTATAGAATAGTTACAGTGAACTTTGAGTAGATACAAGTACTGTGCCATGAAGGTGGGGGTACACACGATAAACCAGCACATAAGAACACTTGAATGTCAGCAACCTCCTGCAGTCTATGATATCCTGTACTTTTTTCAGGGATTCAAATTTGGTGAGCACTACGGAGAATGTTGCTGTTGTGATATTTGAGGGCATTAAGAACCATTTGCCTGACCATGTGGATCTACATGAAATCAAAGTCCACGAGACTGAGAAAAATATTGTGGTCTTCCGGGGAGACTATGAATAACTGGCCCTCAAGATAGAACTTTGGAGTCGTCTTTGTCTTGATAATTATACTGTACTGTATTCACAAATACTTAAGTAAATTAATGTATGGTGTCAACTGTGTATTTTATCCCCTACCAAAGCAATTAAACTTAACCTTTACAGAGATGAACCAGCTTGGAGACAACAGTTCTCATATGTTTTAATTGTTGATGAATAGTGTAGTAACGAACATGAATACGCGCTTAACGACTTAAGTTAATAAAGTGCAGTAATAAAGACTGTTACCCACGCTCAGGGCAGGGCCAAAGTGGGCCACGGCTGAGACTGTGCTCAAATCTGTCAACACTGACCGCCTGTAGGGTAGATTTGTGGTGCCCAGACTAATACTTTCGTTCTGCACAAAATCACGCTCTGCCATTAAAGATCAAGGCTGTGCGGACACAGTGAAGCTAGTTCACCCCAGTTGCTCAGCTTTCAGCAGTAGTAGCGTCAACACTACGTGTCAATGAGTGAGTTTCATGCCGAATAATGAAAACGGATTTGAGTTCTACCACACAGTGAACGACCGTGTAGAGGAGACGTCCACTACAATACCCCTACAACCGCTTCAGAATATTAAGTTCTGTATTGTGGCATATTCCAATAAAAATTCTTTCGTTTTTTTAATTAGTTTAACTTCGATGTCCATTAATAAATATTACTAGTATAAATAATACAAAGTTTTTATCTAAAATCGTTAGATAGCTACAGGTTTGAATTATTCAGTAATACTCCATAACTGGTGGTTGTTCTCAACACTATTTTGTACATTATTGTCACTTCAGAAAATTCGAACAGGAACGAAAATACTCCAAGCTACTTTTTTTTTTAACTTTGCATTCAATATTTCTTAATTAAGTAAAATTATGGTTTCGGTCAGGCATAAATTTGGAAGTAGTCAGAATCACTCAATAACTGTACACATAAAATCCAACGGAAAAATACAATTTCAACCTAACCAACTTAACGTAAACTTTAAATCCTACAATTAGCAGCGTGACTGAAACGGCAATAATATCCTTACATTATTACCCTCAACAAATTTAATAATTCTCGTAATACAATTCAAAATGTAAAATAAAAGCCATTACCTTTAGCTGAAGTGACGACTTAACCATCCAATTCGCTGTCGTCACTTATCCACTGGAATGATCACTCCCAGCCTTATATTCTCTACTTTCAAAATTCTCTTCATCTCATTCACCGATTCTCCCCCTTATTATAACTTCTCATTCACCGATATTCGTCCACTTCTGTTATAACTTTTTCAAATTATAATTAAAAAAAAACCTTTTAGAGGACATCTTTGTCACGCCGCCATTATTTAAATACCGGCACTCACGTCTCACTTAATCTTCACCATAGGTTAGATCGGTCACGTTTGTCATGCACTGTTAGCAATTACTGGGCAGTGCCAAAGGATCTTATACCATTTAGAGTTCTTGTTACGTGGCGCCTTGGTCCAGTCTCCACATCTTCGTGTTGGTCTCGGGAGCTTCGTGGAGCTGCACTTTAAACTCGATGTTGTCACAACAATGGCGGAGTCTTTCAAGGTTCGTTATGACAAGCGACAGGAAAATAAAAAATATATATTTTATTTAGTTCGTGTGTTAACCGAAAAATAGGTACAAAATATAATTATGAATAAATTACGAAAATTAAAACCCTTAGTCTAGTGTTACAGAATTTAGTTAATAAAATTACTTAGCATATCTTAAAAAATGGATCACCGGCAAGACGTTTTTTTTAATAATTTTTGCCACTTATTAACTTATTGCTATTCGGGAGGCATTTTTGTTCATTACATAACTTTTTATATAATAATTATAACAAATAAGTACGAAGTTCGCAAATTTAAGCGATTTTTCTCTGGAAAAAACGGGTAATAATATATAGACACACTTCGAGAAATAAGATCGCCAAACCATATCTATCAGACAAATCATAAACGGAATGAGAAGATATTGGGAGCATAATGTGCTGTTTAACGGTAGACCCTGCTGCAATATGGCATCACAAAAATTGTGACCAAGTCCCAGGTTGCTGATCTGACTTTCTGCCTCATTTACACACAATTGCAGGGTCTCAAAAGTTTCTCTTACTTACACAACACAACACAATATATATATATATATATATATATATATATATATATATATATATATATATATATATATATATATATATATATATATATATATATATATATATATATATCGTTTCTCACTATTAATCTGTTTTATTATATTTATTATTATATTTTATATGTTTAATATTTGTTTTGTATATTTTTAATTATTTATTATTATTATTATTATTATTATTATTTCGCCCCCAGGCCCTGATGTGGGTCATTGACCTGTGCCCTGAAGATGAATGTTGGACGTTGGGTCAGGGACACATAGGACTTTGGGTCAGGGGTCAAAGTAATATAAATAACACAATAAACTACTCTGAAGGTTCCCAGGGGTATTATTACAGGTTAGTATGAAGCAGTCAGGAAATCTTTGGTCCATAACCCAAACGTCTGAGGGTCGTGACCCATGATCTGTTAGCCAATGGGTCATAATATACAGGGTGATTCAGCAAAGAGTATATTAAATTGGAGGATGAAATCCTTGGATAATTCTAAACCACAATGTGTATGGTAAAATGTCTGATTCTGCATATGCCCACATGTTCGTGACAGGTGCGAGCAAATTAAACATAGTCCAGGCATTGTGGAACGCTTCAAACAATTAATGGTACGACGTGTACAGGCCTGTATTGAGGCAGAAGGGGGCAACATTTCCTGTAGGTTGTAACAAAGAGTGGTCACACTGTACAGATCTGTGAATAAATTATTACCAAAACCTGTGGGGGTTTCACTCTCATTAATACAACATCTTAAATGTATTTAAAGTGGAAACTGTGCAGAATCTGACATTATACCATACGCACATTGTGGTTTAGAATTATCCAAGGATTTCATCCTCCAATTAAATAAACTCTTTGCTGATTAATCACCCTGTATATATACCTAACCTTCAATAATGCTGATAATTTATACCTAGCCCTCAATACAGTGGTCCCTCGGTTAACGAGATTTCGGTTAACGATTTACCTTCCATAAGATTCTTAACTTCGGTTAACGAGCAATCCCTCGATTAACGAGTTTTTTACGAGCCGACTTCAACATGTTTTCGCTTGCATTTGGCGGTCCACCAGCTGTAGTATTAGTCTGCCAATACAGTAATCGGTTTTAGGGCTTAAATTCCTTACTATTTTAGTAAATATCAAGACGTTTATACTATTAAATAATTTTAAAAGTTTAATATTAACTTTTTTAGTCATTTTAACAATTATTGAACATAATTGAAGGTAAAGAAACTAGTTTCTGGCGTGCCATCCAGCCTCTTAACACACCAGACAGGCGTTAGTCTCTCTTTGTTTTCAGTGGAGGTAACATCTTGCTTGAGACTCTCTTCAACTAATCACATTTTTTCTGTGTTTCCAAGCAAATTATTGGTCATTTTGAAATATATTTTACATATTGACAATATATAATGCAGTGCAGTGTTGATTTAAAGAAAATAATCTTGAAATACATGAAGAGAACTAAAATTTTATAGGTGAAATGGTGCCATGGGGTGACTTCTCTTCCACCCCAATGCCTTCTCTTCTTCCTTCTCCTCCACCCCCCATTCTAATTCCCATCATCATCATCATCATCATCATCCAGGAGCCTTCTACATACACACCTCAAAGTAAGTGTACTTTTCCACCTTTTTTGTTGAATTTAGGCAATTTTTGGTGAGCTGGAACCAATTACTCAAAAACCCATTGAAACAATGGTTTCGGTTAACGAGTTTTTCGGTTAACGAGCAACCTGCTGGAACGGATTGTGCTCGTTAACCGAGGGACCACTGTAATACAACAGGCTCTTAAAATTCGTGTTGCTTTGGTTCTCAAAATGAAAATGGTCGCGAATATCATTTGCTGACCCTGGGAGGGGGGGGGGGGAATCTGTGTGTGTGTTACATTTTTACTCGTGTGAAAAAAAAATGTATATTCCCTTTGTGGGTTTGCCCTTAGGATAATTATTTCTTTTACCTGTACTGTGTGTGTGTGTGTGTGTGTGTGTAGACACACACACACACACACAATATATGATAATGGAAAAATCATCTCACAAATAATGAAACAAAACAAAATTTATCAAATGTAGAAAAATTGCAAGTCTATTCTCAAGTCAACTCCACACTTTGTTATTAGAGTTGTGTTGATTGGGTCTGTCTCTAGAACAATTGGCATCCGAGCACCAGCTGGGTTGATATGTAGACCAAACTTACAGATTTTCTTTCCTAGCCATCTAGCCAACCCAACATGAAGGCTGTCGGTAATTGTAGTGTAATACTGTACTGTACTTTCTCACAATATGTATGTTGGATGGTGTGTGCATGTAACCGAGTAAATATAAACAAAGAAAGTTAAGTACAAGAGTTGAAAAACAACCATAACACCTCACAGCTTGGCCCAGTAGCCTGGTGGTTACAATGCTAACAGAGCTACAATGCCATGGTTAATCACTATTCTATCAATAAATGTTATTAATAACAGTAAATTCAGTGAAATATGGCAGGGAGCGAGGAGAGTCAACAGCAGATGATGTGCTAAATATCACTCACTTCCCTTACTGCTCCAGTTGCCAGGCGTACATATGGCAGAAAAACATTATTTGTAGTCTAATATGTAAATGGTACGGGCTCAGTGACAAATTATATAAACCATTCATTTTCCTATGGTAACATAATAATAAACGGTGCATCATTACTGGTGAGTGAATTAATATTCCCACAACCCAAAATTTACAACTGATACCCAAAAAAAATAGATTAACACTCACCATTCCTTGCTGGCTGTTTGTGTGGAGCCCGTTTTCCTCTCTCCACTGCCGCTGATGAATATCATGATGAAAATGATGAATATGATGAACGTGATGAATGATGATGATGAAGGAAGGGGAGTTAGAAGTTCTCATCTGCTTCGGAAGAAGAGGCAGAGGAGAGCGGAGGGAGGTCAGAGCTGGGAGCAGCAGGAGGAGGGTTGTCCATGCCATAATCAGACACATGAGGAGGAGCACAAACAGGAGGCTGATGCTCTCTTGCAGGTGTAGGGCTAGGAGTGGACAAAGTCAAGAACAACACGGAGATTGGAGGCTGGGCAACCTGGCGCTCGAGTTCTTTTAGTATTTCCTTATAAAGAGCCAGGAGCTTCTCCATCCCTCTCTTTAAGTTGACTGATCTCTCGACAGTGGGATTAACGTTGAAAAAATAGTCCGCGGGTGCCCTACAAGACGGCAAGCTCTCCACCTCCTGGGGGTACACCTCAGGTCGGCAAGCTCTCCACCTACTGGAGGTACACCTCAGGTTGAGAGGCTTACAACCACAAAATCATTGCCATATGACATGATTTTTTTATTTTTGAATTGTGTTCACGGCTGGGATTGACCATACAAAGGTAACCAAAGAGTGTAGTATTGTGCCTCTAATTAAGACAGTTCATAGTGACACCAGTGACCCAGGAAGAGGCTGTAAATAACTTGAAGTGAAGAACAAATTGGCAAGCAGGCAGGTACCACACCACTGCCGGCAGCTTCTTTTCCTCGGCGTTGACAGGAGAGGACGCGTACAATCTTCCCGTGTTTGAGTACAGACGCAGATCTGACCCACGTTGTGTTCACAGAAGAGGTTATAAGAAATAAACTGTCAAAGCTAAAGGTGCATCCCAGTGTGTTAAGGGAGTTGTGCAGACTGGATAAGCACTGGAGCAGGTTCAGATACATTCAGGAGCCGTGTATACCCAGTATTTGCCCAAGCGGCTAACGAGCTGATCGGTGGTGAAGAGGATAAAAGTAAAAAGTAAAAAAAGTGACGGTTAAGGTGGGTACCACCTCCAATTCACCTTCTCCATCTTCACCATAACTGTATCCCTCAAATTAGCAGATACCTTGGCAGAAGAGGGGGCACTTAGGGCAATGGCATTACAAATTTCCTTCGCTTTCTTCTTGATGTAGCGGACACTTGATTCATTGATGCCATACTCTCGGCCACGTGCAGCAAAGCTTTGGCCACTCCTAAGTTTGTCTGGCAGTTTTATCTTCTCCACTCGGGTCATGATATTTTCTCTCTTCACTTGTTTGGGTACCTTCCCATGGTTGGATGAAGGTGGTTGAGGGCATTTGGGAGCCATCACAATCACGAGGAGCACAGTTGTTATGAGAGCAGAGTAGCACACGTGCAAGAAAGACAATTGTTTATCCCGGACTGAGGCGGAGGGAGCACACGTAGACCAGCCTCCCGGGACAAGAGAGACGCCCTACGGGATGCCACAAAATTCACACGCTCCCCGTCCCAGCCATGAAAATGTTGGCGACTGTAAAACTACCTGCAGACATTCGAATAATCGAGGACCGTGAATTAAAAATCCGAGAATTATCAGGGCATGCTGTTCTGGTAACTTGTGCCCAACCCTCAATAATACTAATAATTTATACCGAACCTTCAATAATACTGATGCTGGTACTATTCACTAGTATGGACTTGCTTATCAGCCCCAGAGTTAGAAATACAAACAGAATCCTAGTACTGTACTGTACTGTACCACCCCCAACCCCACAGGTAGTTTTGGAATGGTTAATCTTTAGGGCTTAAGGAAAATTTTCTTTACATATTTTACATGAATTATTTACACTACTTTTTTTTATTTATGGGTTATAATTGTTGATGATTTTACATGTAAGGGATAATGGATTACATACATATTTTATTGTAATATTAACCGATCCTGAGTTATAAGCAAATTAACTTAGGAACTAGATCAAGGTATTCACTCCTTCATAACTCAGGGACCTCCTGTACTGATAATTTATACCTATCCCTCAAAAATACTCAATCCCCAGTGATAAGAAACATTTGTATCCAATCCCTAATAATTCTGATAATTTGCACCTAATCCAGAAGTGTACAGTATTTAAGTTTTTGTACTACTCATTGCATTTTTTCTTAAGAGGTCCAGCCAAACAGTAGTTTAAGCAATAATTCTGAGTAAACCATTATGAAGCACTCCAATTTACAGTACAGGGTGTCATCCAAAAGTTCCCAGACTGTCTTCATATAACCTTTCTCTTAGTAGATATCAAATGTGAATCATCAGCAGTTACTCAACTTGGGTGTAAGTTATTTACTGCATCGATTTTGGCAGAATGTGGCACTAACCAGCCATAGTGCAGCTTTGTGCGAGTGTGTGACAGTCGCCACTCAACCCTCAAAATGAAGGGAAGTATCGAGCAATGCTGCACCATCAGATTTTACTTCAGACTAAGAAAAAATGGTGCAGAAACCCATGAAATGATCAAGGAAACCGACAAAAATGAAACAAAGTCCTGGGCACAAGTTTCCAAGACAGCGGCACCTGTGAACTATTTTCTGGTGAAGCACAGCATCCCAGTGGTCCCCCACCATCCATAGTCTCCAGATCAGGCCCGCTGTGACTTCTGGCTGTTTCCAAAGTTCAAGTTGAACCTCAAGGGGAAGAAGTTCATGGACAGAATGGAGAGCCAGAACACATAGCAGGTGCTTTCCAGCCTCAGCAATGAAGACTTTCAAATCTGCTTCTAGAAGTGTGAGGAACAGATTCAGTGCTGCATTGAGGCACCTGGAGAATATTTTAAGGGTGACTAAAATTCACAGCAATAACTTGAAAAATAAAGATTCTATGAAGCCAGTCTGGGAATTTTGGGATCACACCTCGTATAGTATGGGTAAACCTCTATTTGCGATGGGGTTAAGTTCCTGAAAACCCAATCGCAGGTCAACATATTGTAAATCAGGTTTATTGTAACATGGGGGGTTCAATGGGATAGGTTCCTGTCCAGTCGGACACCAAATATACGACCAAAAAATAAAAATCCTAGAATACTAATAGCACTACAACAATCACCACATCATTAAGAACAGGACCGGTCATCATCACATATCCCCTTCGAGACAAAGGGGACTCTTGAAGATGGAGTGGAGATATCACTGACTCCCACACAGCCTCTGGGGCCTCATACTGCTTCACAATGTCAAGCTTCACCTCCAGAGACATGGGTTCCCTGGGTGCCTCGGCCTTCCCAGACATTTTCAAAGTTACTCTGCTCCCTTCGGTCACTAAATCAGAGAAAAACACATATGTAATCTCTTCCCTGACCAGTCATCCCTCCCTCCATAAAGAGGGAGGAGGGGGGAACTGTACCATGTTTCCCTTTTTGTTATTATTTATTTATTACTTGTATTATATTCTCGTATGCTTGGCCTCTTATAGTGTATGTTTTACCACATCACAAGAAGAGCCAGGGGATGTTGCATTCAAGTTTTGGAAGGAGTTCAATGTGTGAACTGCAGTTAATGACTTGGTTGGAGCAAGGAGGGAGACAACATGCATGGCAGAAACTGCTGCCTGTGGCAGGCGAGGTGACCAGCACACGAGCGTTGGCAGAGAATGTGGCGAGTGTGGTGGAACTGGCGAGACAGATGACATCTCCAAGCTTTAGTGAGATGAAAGTTATTGGAGCAACAGGGGAATCCACTTCACTAGACGACATGCTACAGGAGATGGAAGATGAGGAGAAGGAGTTTGAGGCGGTGGAAGAAAGTTTTGGTGTGGTGGTACCATAGCAGACGAGGGAAGCATGACTCAGCAGCAAGTGACTATTTCTCGGCAAGGATGAGGAACTCAAGGATGCTTTAACGAGTGCTGAACCCAGCCTTCAAAGCAGTGAAGAACTCACTGCACAGTTTGACAGGAGTTCATTAAACACCGCTGCCAGCCTCTCCTGGAATATTGCAGTTGGCGAAATACCACAATGTACCTCACAAGGTCCTAGAGCACCTTCAATATTATTATGGGACAAGGGCTTCCCTGTAATAAAAAATCAAAGGGCTAACTACAAAAGCACTAGTTGTTACATACCTATTAAACTTCCTAAGTGATTTCCTGCCTAAGGTTTTCTTGGAGTGATAGAAATGAAGTGATGCATTCTGCTGAGGCCTCTTGATTCTTTTTCCTAGTAATCTTACAGCTGACATTACAGGTTATAAAAGTTTTCTTATCCAACACCAATTAGTTAGATACTTCCCCATCTCTTCAAAACTTAACTTAAAAACAGCTCTGAATATTTGCAGATCAACTCGCAACACCTGCCGAGTAGATATGAAGTATTTTATTATTAAAGGGAGAGGCAGTAAGTTTATCTCCCTCCCTCACTTTTTTTTAATTTTGTAAACCAATTTAATTTTTACAAGAAGCTACTGGGGATGTGGCTAAACTACTCACATCAATTCACATTAGAAATCAATCAAACATTACACTCTCATTGGGGATTCAAACCTGGATTTGTTGGATTATCAGTGTGCTCACTAAACCATCACTGCATACATGAAACTGGCAAATAAGACTACAAGGATGAATAATGAAATATACACTAGAAGTTGAAATTGTGTATTGGATAAAGCTTGACACGTTCGTTAAAGCAAAAGAAGAAACTAGTATAATATCGAGATACCTCTTAGGTAGGGGTGTCCAGAAGTGCAGCAAACAGATTGCTCCTGTACACAAGAAAAAGAGGGATTATGGGGAAGATAAGAGGTTGTGGGGGTCAAGTAGAACCCTTAAAGGAGGGTGAGAGAGATGACATATTTATGAAATAGTGTACATCATTATCTCAATAATCTAAGACCAAGTCAAGTAAGATCTTAACACTATCCTGACATCAGACTTTGATACTGTATTCACCTTTTGACTATAGTGTTTATTCTGAGTTTATGTATAGTTTAGACCATATATCTGAATATATAATAAATACAAAAATATGAAGTTATGGATAATCAAGATTTTGACTAATAAGGTCCTAGATAATGGCTGTAGTGATGTAAGGCAGAAGGTAGGATGGTGTGAAACACTGGTTTTGAAGAAGGCAAATACCACTTTCAGTCTGCAGTAATAATTGGTCCATATACAGTTAAATTCCTTTTCACCAGTAAATTATATATATTAAAAACTCTACAAGGGTAAAATGCCTATAAACACACTCATAATCTATTTTGATGATGGAAAATGTTGGGAGGTGCAGACTGACCAGTAGGAAACAGTTAGGTAGAGAGAGGCAACAATGTTCAACATGGGTGTGTTTCCCAATATAGCTTACAGAGACAAAATATACATCTTACTAGTAGACCCACACGGCCTACTGGGAAACATCACCCACCATATATTTGAACATGAGAGAAACAAACCACTTGGTGGTTAATCAACAAAAGGTCCATCAATGACCTAGAACTGGGACGTTATCTTCATTTAAAAAATCTAAGACTTCCATATTATAATATTTCATCTGTACACACAATATAAACCACACTTCTCTATTTCTAATCTAAGCTCGAACAACCTGAACCTGTACAGCAACTCAACGAGCATCTTTGGCTTGCAGAAAACAAGTGTTGCCATACAGTGCACAACATACATCTATTCCCAAACTGGGAACCAACTGACTACCCTAGGAAGCTGCACAATGTAACCAGCCATTACTTTCCCTAACCACATTAAAGAGGGCCTTTAGCACTGCTCTTAACCAAGACAGTGTTGGTTGTACCATATAACTCAATCTTTATTTAAATATCATGTTTACATTCCTATCATTCAAGTGGAGTGAATTATAGCAATTGGATTCATATAATGTACCATTTTATTTATAGTCAACAGAAGGCTGGCTGGTCAAATGTTGACTTACATAATTGTATTGTAATTTCACACTCATAGAGTGCTTTAATCCTTCCATACTATACTCTCTATAACTGATCTATTAGAGTCAAACAACTTGTGCACGGTGGCAACACTGGTAAATATCTGCAGTAGATACAAATAAACAGGTTAAGAAACAAGCAATATCCCTTCTCTGTAAACAGATAAAATGCATACCATATTCTCTTTCATATCAACTTTAAAAAGTTAAACATGGTGCAAACTTTTACAATCACCACATTACCCTGTGATGTGGTGTAAAGTCTTTGGCATATGGGCTCAAAAAGTAAAGGTAGTATACATCAGTGAATTGATGGAAGTTACTACAACTCACACCTACATAACTGTATCTCCCATCAAAATCATAAGTGCAACTGAAACACTACAATATTATTTAGGGCGGGTTCCACGTGACTTCCATCAAGAACTGCTTTACAATAAATGGCTATCTTCCCAAGCAACCCATACCACAGTAAACACTTTAATAATAATCTCATTTAATAAAATATACAATTAAAATGACTTCAGAAAACTCACTGATACTTATTCTTGTTAGCAAAGTAAAATAAAAAATTAAAAAAATAAATAAAAGGTTTACACAACTTGAAATACATACTTTGTACTTATCAGTTATTACTGTTGTATAATTAATTTGGCAAACTAGTTGGCCATATCTGAGATGAGTTACAGATTCCATTTAAATCTGAAAACTATAAAAACTAACAGAAGTTATAATACCCACAACTGATAGTGAGAAACTGATGAAGATAAAAGACATTAACAATGAAATACAATAACAAGCAATGTAGGGCATTAGTTCTCTAAAGCTCAATACCCTTGCCAAGACATAATAATACAATACCACACATCCTAAACACAAACTCTTTTCCAACTTGCCCATCCTAGCACCAGTGTCATGGGATCATAAAGTAACACAGTACCATTTCACCAGAGTATTTAGATGCCACTACTGTAGGTCCTCTGTGTTGTCCATCACAGCTTGTGAAATTATATTCAGAGGTATAAGCATACAGAGGATGTGTTTGCTTGTTACAATTCAAGTACAGTACAGTATACCTTGGTCATCTGGACAGTAAAATAAAGTCTGAATATTATATTTACAAAAATTACAATACCTCAAACACTTTGTACAGGAAGTTAATGCATTAGGTAACCCCATATCAGCCCTAATGACTTACTAGACATAATTACGTGATGACTACAATAATACCCATGCAGGCCACGGTGGGTGGGTGCACCGATGAGCCACACTCTTGTGGTAACCTGCATAATGCCATATTTATCTCCCACATACTAGTAGCAGTAACATGTACAATACTAAACATGTTAGTAAAAGAGTTTCATTTTATTTGCTGCCTGAGTAAAAGTGTACTCTGAGGTGCAACACAAATGAGGTTAAATGAAAACTAGTTGTTATACTGAGACAAGAGATAAATAAACAGCATATCAAGAGGCAATTTGGAAAAGAGTATATTTAGGATTATTAATCACAACCAAGTTCTTAGGTGGGTGCTTGACTACTTTATATTGATACAAATAGCTATTTTTCAGGTTCATGCACCATCTAAGAACTTGGGTTACAACGTTCTGTAACAGTTACATTGATTAATGAGTACAGCCAATCATGGTTACTGCTATTTGAATTTGATTCAAGTATCCTTGTCCTAAATATTATTCTGTAACATACATCTTATATTACAGTTTTGATTTATACTTATAGTTTGTAACACTGCATTCTATATCCTCTACACTCACCATTTATTGTCAAAATTCCACAAAGGTCATAATTAACTAAGTGTGTACAAAATGCGCACTATCACATATTTACTCTCCACTAATACTGGCACACTGAAGGCACCTTAGACATCCTTGCCATAACGGGTTTTGTGAGGCCGTAGATAAACTGCCGACTTCCCGACAAGTGCAACACGACATAACTCTGCTTTAAGTGCATCCTCCACATTGTGGGACTCTTTTGTGAATTGTAGGGTAAATCAATGAACTTGTGCCATAAACTCTGAAAAAATAATTTAGTGATTCTGTGGAGTAAATCAAAGAACTTCTGTCATGTTACATATAAACATAGGATCCTCAATAAAGGTTCTGTACAATAAAATATGCACAGGTCACCATGCATAGAATTTGGGCCTGAAACACCAAAACTGAGTGCACTTCACTATTAAATAACAACACATGTAAACTACTTCCATTGTGTTTTGAACTTTACTGCTCTCTGTTGTGAATTAAAAAATTTCATTGTGACCTAAACAAATTTAACCCAACATGGTGTAGAACTAAATGTTCTGTACTGTACTACCTTATATTTGGAAAGCTTAAGGGTCTCTGGTGGAAGACATTGTAACTCTCCAATATTTTAAGGCTATCCTGTCAATGTCTTGTTAAGCTATTAACCTCAGCTCGAGTGAGGAGACTCGTATTCAAACAACTTTTATCTACCACGAATTTTGTCAAAAATAAAAGGAAGGTCATTACCATAAAATACTATTTTTGAAGTTACTGATAATATTGGATATTCTATACAGTAAACAGTATCCATTTGCATAAATTTCATCCAATTTCTATGAATATAAATACTAATGACTATACAATCAAACTCTAATTTATATATATTCATTACTTATTTTAGCCCTTTAGATATAATAAATATTATATATGTACATGAAGAATCTCAATTTTAAATAAAATGGTTTGGTATATCCAATAATAACAAGGGAGTAATACATGGATACCCTTCTATGATTTACCCTACACACAGTTTTGCTCTATTTTGATTTCTGTTGCAAGTTTATTCCTAACCATGTCCTCATGTATTGAATGCATGACCAAATTCATAGTATTTCTGTGACCCCATACTTTCACTCATTCTTGATATTCAATATAAGTTGCATGCATCCATCTTATTGCAACAATACACTTGACTTTCAATACAGTATTATCAACTAACATGGTTGATCCTGGACCATTTATAAGAACACCATCTGGCATGTGTTCTCTGACTGTGTAAACATACTCCAAGTGAGAGGTAAGTTGCAACGGCTTCCAATGACTTTTATTGTAGCACGGTATTACTGGGTATTTAATTTTTCTGTATACCATGGCAATTTCTATATTATTCTACAATATTTCTATTTATTACAATATTACTATTCATTTTATAATATTGCAACCACTTTTTTTAAACATCATCTTTGACGACATCAATTACGTATTAAATTGTACTCAAATTTCCTAACTTTTACTTTCCACACAATGTGAAAATATATGTGTCATCATAAAATTACACTGAGACATACAGAAGACTGCACAGATAACACGACTCTTCCTGCTGAATCAAACCCACACCACGAAGCAGTAGGCAAAAATTTTACCAACTTTATAATCTATTGGTAAGACACTTGAACATGGCCTCCCACTGCTGGCCCAGGAACTTAACAAAATTCATCACAGGAGACAACAGACCCACCATTGGGAAGCCACGTTTCCTGAGTGATGGCGGGTCATTTGGTATAACCTATCTGTTGTACTGAATAATGCAATTTTAGTTTCAGTTCTGGTTCAGCAGTGGAAGGCCTAGTTTAAATGACTTGGCAAGTGCTGGTAAACTTGTTAGTGCACTTATTTGCCATCTGAGGGGTGTGGGTTCAATTCTAGAGAGGAGGAGTGTAGTACAGTATTGTTATTTGTCCACTGACAAGTTTTCCTGATACTTCCACCCAAACAAATCTGGAGGAGTAGTGTTGACATCTTACCACCACTTATCATATTCACTTGGCAAACTGGAATCATCCACCACTTTGTAGATTCTATCTGGGCATATAATATAACATACAAATTTAACATCTACAGTTATGTGTACTTGTTATTCATCACCTGTAACACCAGGCTTCACTTGGCAAACAGGGAACACCATTTTGTGGATCCAATCTGGGCTACATCATTATATTCATCAAATAAACTGTGTACAAACACTGTATAATATCATATACAAATTCAACATGTACTAAATCATTAACTACCTTATTACCATTATGGGTCCTGTAGTTTCCATGTTCAATTACACAACTCAAGATTTCAAGAGCGTTACAAGCCAAGTTTTACGGTACAGTGTATGCAGTTCACAGGCTGCCAGAATGAGTAGATAAATTCATTAAAAATAAGTTGCAAATCTTAATGCCATGGATACTTTAATTATCCCCAAGGTTTAATTTATTATCTATCTAAAATACATGATAAAGTCCTCTGTAGTTGTGAAAGAAATGATCCAGGTTTATATCTAACACTGTTGGCCTCAGTGTGAACAGCCTTTTTGTGTGAAAACTACAAGTGAAGTCACTATGATTGCAAAAAACATGAGTGTCCTGCGAGGTTCATGAGTGGGGCCAATGAAGTGAGTTACCTTTTAGTGGCACAAATGATCATCATGGTGTGTGAGTTACATCAAACATTGATATGTATTCTTAAAAATATTGTTCTCAATGTCTAAGGAATTAAGACCATAGGTTTCTCTATCACTTCCTTGAGTGTAACATTGTAGGATTAAAATAACATAACACTAATAACAAAATTAGATTTTCAAAAGTATTGCTTCAGTTAGTGCTATAAAGCTTTTGATGCTATGGCATAATTAAAAGTCAAATGTGATTCACTTAAGAAACCCATATGTGGAAATATCAGAGGCTGTCATGAGGTCGTTCATTTTAAAGTAAAAATTTTGCTTCCAAATGTTAATACACGTGTAAGAATAATACCCAGTGATAAAAAACGGATCACAAATTTCTATGGGGATAATTAAATTGTAGGGCAAATTACAAATAAAAGTCTTAATGAGTGTTTAACATTACTCATAACATGACAGTAGTGCTTCAAGACCTTATTAGCACTCTTAAATTTCTTTTGATTTTATGTCAATTAGTAAAGACTATAAATGTCTAACATATTTTCAATGGATTTCAATACAACTCAAATATCTTGGCTTATAAAAAAGGTCACCTGACCCTTCTCCTTGATCTGTTTCTTGTAGGGGCCACAGCTGCTGCAGGAGGAGGAGAGAGGAGGTGTGGGGGAGGCAAGGAAGACTCCCGAACAAGTAATGCTGCAGTCATGGTCAGACTTTTAGCCTTGCTTGTAAGTCTTTTCTTACACTCTCCTGATGTCACTTGGTTAACCTGGGCTAAGTTCATGTGCTGGCGCTTTAAGGCTGGTTTTGCTTGTCTATTTATGGATCTGTTTTTTGGTCCACTACCCAGTCCATTCAGCGGTCCTTCCACAGCGATGTTCAGAGTGGTTGGGGAGTCTGCATATGTAGTTTTATTTCTTCTTAGCTGTGGGACTTGATAATCTTGACAATGAGTGGTGTTCCCGTTGAATGCTTCACTTATGGCTTTATTTAAAGCATTTCTCCCTCTCACACTGAAAATAAATGTGATGCACAATTATGACATCACAAGAGTTTGGACAATACTGTACAGAACAATTAACAACACTTGACTATAAATTTAAAAAATATATATATATCTCAAACTCATGTCCGATTTTTATAAATAATATCTATCTTCATCAAAACTGAATATTTTTTTTTTTAAGTTTCCAGGATACAGACAACATGTATCGGTAATACCTTCATTAGCTGGAATCCCTCTTAACCGAAACTCTCTATAGCTGGAATTGAAATGTTCTCGGAAAATCGTTCCCAAAGCTTTGGGAAAGATTTTCTGAGGGGCACATTTTCTGAATTTTCCCAGTACCCGGAAAATTCCGGGGACGTGGGAGTTTTTTCTGGGTTTGAGAGATGATGTAATGTGCAATTTCGGGAACTTCAGAGAAAATTTTTCCATTATCCAGAAAATTCCGGGGATGAGGGATTTTTTTTACGGTTTTGAGTTGTCTCGTTACCCGGAAATCTCTCATTTCTCGGCTAACCGAGATATTGCACATTCAGCAAAGCAATATAAACATATATTACTTCTCCTTTATGAGATAAGAGTAGGACAACTATTAAAAGTTTTTAACACTCTCCTAACCAATGGAAAAGCAAGCACAGTTAACATACCCCCTGCAGTGCAGTACAGTACAGTACTTCTTGCAAGACCTAAAGAGGTTGGCATCACAGGCAAGAAGCTGTAAAGGTGTGCATGGCAAGAGGCAAACCCAAACAACTCACAAGAGGCTTCCTATAAGCATTGTTGACACAAAATCACATAAATTACTGAAGCAAAATCATTGACTCTTTTTCCAGGCATTAAGAAGAAGTAAACCACACTTAACATTCTATAATACAGTACAGTACAGTCGTTGCTTTACTAAAAAAATAACATGATATACAATATGGTACTGTAGTGTGCAAGTTAAAATATACACAAAATGCATGGTAAGTAAATCAGAGATAATAATACAACACTGAAGTGTAAAAGCACATAAAAGTTATATACACTAAGGAATGGTGCATAAAAATCACAATTAGTAATAATAATAATAGGAAATAATAGTATAAAGAACCTGTTGTACAGTACTGTACGTATATATTTACATATATTATAATCTGGAAGGGAATGTTCCAGCATTAAAGTCTCTCATAATGTTGACTGTGAAAGAAAAGTAAACAAACTAATTATTTCTAAAAAAAAAAAAAAAAAATGAAAAAAAAAAGGAAGGGGTGGGGGTTTATTTTACCTGCGTCGCGTGGGCACTTTGGGTGGGACGATGGGGAGCGTGGACAGGACGGAATGTTTCACAGTGTCCACCCTATGATCCCCGTACCACTGCACCACACACTCACCACCAACCTGTTGAACAAATACATGTTTCACCAAGATGAATTTCTAACACCTCACACCTGAATTAACACAGCTTACCCACCAAATTTAATTGATCTTAACTAGAGGTTTATTTTTAGAAAGTGAAAACATTTTTAAAAGCCAGTAAATACCTTTGTTATTCCTAAACTTTGTATTTATTTTCAGTGTTTATTTTTGGTGATTCAATTGAATGTATGAAAATTAATTAATACCATGGAAGGAAAAATCTTAAATCTTGAGTATGTAAAAATGCAATACTATAGTAGCAAAAATAAAGAAAACAGTTGAAGAATGAAATTCCATTTAATAATGAAGAGGAAGAGACGAGTAACCTGACGGACCCCCAGGCCAGAACACCCCCCGACAGAGCCGACCTTATTCTGGAGGCAGCTTACAGTCTGAGACAGAGACACTGGCCTGTTGTATCAGTCAATTGTTGAATGAACAGCTACTTGTCTAGTTGACCCACGGCTCATGAGGTACGCTCTAACCCTGATCTGATGCTGCTGCTAAAAGTCAACTCGTCCATGAATAAAAATATCCAAACCCTGGAACCAATTTGCTTGACAGTACCCTCAATTATTAACTTGAGTTACAAACTTCATTCCTCACATTTTTCTACCAACTAAGAAACAATCAATGAGGAGGGGTGGAGGGAGGCCCCTCTAGGACAGTTGCCTCTTCCCCTTGGCCATATAATAGGATTTTGACCTTTAATCCAATGTTTTTTTTGGCCTAAGGCCCATTTAATAAATAACTGGCAAGGTTTTAAATTAGCAAGGAATAGGAGGCACCCCAACCATGTCCCTCAACACTAAAGAGAACCACAATGTCTGATGAAAGATTTACCATTCAGAGTCAAGCCCTCTGAGAGGCTGATAATTAATCCTTCAAAATGTTTCAAAATGAACAAGTCCAGACAGCCCAGCCACGGTAACTGACGCTGATAATAAACCGTGATACAAATCTCATCAAGGAGTGGACGTAGCTACAGTACGAGCTCTCTGAAAGGCACGGAGAACACTGGGACGAGAGTATCCCAGTAAGTCAAATTTTAAGGCCAAGTATGATATAATAACACAAACCCCACAATATTCATTACTGGTCCATAAGATTAAGGAAATCTGAACAAAGCTCACAGACAAAATTCCCATCAGGGAGTCAGTTGGACTTGACATCACATGAAACCAGTAAAGTGCTAACAACAGAATCATGCCTGAGGTGGAGTGGAATAAATCACAATAAACACATGATCTCAGTGGGCTTCAGGTAAGTAAAATAAACAGAATTAAATTGAACAAACCAACTTTAAGTTTCATCTCTCTGACTTGCTACTATTTCAAACCACTTACAGCTATTGGTTGAAACTTTGTAATCCCTAGTTCAGCCAAGCATGTACTGTACTGTAGCTACAAAAATTCAACAATTTGCACCGCTCCAACAGTAGGGTGTCCTTGCCTAAGAAAGAAGGAAGCCTCCAGAGCAAGATAGTTCTCCCAGGGGGTGTTCTGCAGGGATAACTCTCAGGCACCTTCATAAACGACCTTAATCTTTTATCTTGTAAGTTCTGCCTCTCCGATTATGTCTCCTCTGTGCAAACTTCTGGCAATCCTCATTCTTCATACACATTTTTTTAGTACAAACAGACGAATGTTGCATCAATGATATTCATCCCAGTGGTACATTCCTTGAGCACATATTGGTGTGCTGGTGTTGGCCATTCAGCACGTGAAGGTGTCCAGCTGATAAGTAATTATAATTAAACTACCTGAAGAAAAACCTAAATGCACCGGCCAGCCTTTAATGTCAGAAAAGGAGTAGACAGGGATTACAAAAATTATCCCGGTATGTTGACCAATACAGTCACGGAAGTCCTGTCAGTTCTCCGTCCCGTCAATGAACCCCGAGACTCGTGAATCAGTGAATCCAAGACATCAAACGACCCAATGAACCTTCTATGGGGTCAACACTGTGTGATGTCTCAGATTCACAGGTTCATGAATCTCAGGGTTCATTGATGGCATGGAGGACTGACATGATTTTTTTCCATGACTGTAAATAAAACCTGAAGGTGCGAGTGAGCTTTATCATGAGTCAGAGTGTAATGAAGGGCAGACATCACTGAAAAAATTTACAATAATTGATAACAAAGATGAAGCCTTACCACATTTGCCAAGAATAAAACTTACATATACAAACAACTTATATGTCATGATGCCAAGTTGCTACATGATGTGACAATATATTTAAGGAACCAGTAAATGAATATCAAGTAGCTATATGAATAAAATATAGTTAATAAGAGAGAAAAGAAAATAAAGAGAAGAGAGACAGACAGAGAGAGAAAGAGTTATAAAAAGCCAGACCCAAATGTCATTCCAGAGCAGAAGGAATTTAAATAAAATAATCTTTTGATGGTAACCCGAGCTACTACTGTATACATAACAAACTCCGGTAGGTAAGGTCATGTTTAATTAGTAATGGTAAGCCTGCGTTAATACTCTCTCTCTCGTGTTATTCTGGCTTGTTGTGTCCCTCCTTGGAGCACATATACAGAAATAATTAATCACACTTACAATAACCTACAAAATTTCTCTCAATACCCAACAATTCTTCTCCCTTGTTGCCTCAAAACTTAACTAAACCACCAAACTTTATGAGCACTAAAGTGAAGTCTTACTGGCATTAATAAGGTTTCACATATATACATAAATAATTACTGTATATAGAAAAAGACTGAAAAAGTAATAATTATTGGCAATAGCATATGTCTACATAACTGTGGTAAAGTGATTATGATAAGCGTAGTTGTCTCTGTGATAATATTTGCAGGGAGGGAACAAGAGCAACAGCACCACACTCCACCACCACCTGGAGGCCTGTTAAGAGAGTCCATCAGCACACACATTCTAAGGTCTATGTCTGATTTTTCCCATAAATAAAAATTACAACGATATCATTATAACGGTCTGCTGTATAAGTTCCCTTGAATTATATATGACAGATATAAAATGACTTATTTTACCATATAACAAAACTTTAAATGTTTTTACTTCAAAATTTGTAAAGGAGGAATTAAACATAGACCTTCCTTTAAAATTAGGTGTAAATATGACCAACACCAGAGAGAATATACATAAAAAACACTGTAGTGCCTGTGTGTGTGTGTGTGTGTTAGCTCTGTGGGAGAGAATTACAAGGAAACAAAAGAGAGAAAATATGAACATGGGTGTGTGTCAAGGGGCCACTGGGAGCACATGTCCCCCTCTGACACCATGACTGCAAATTTCTGCAGTCACAGACCTTAACTATAGTGCGCTTTTTCCCAGCTGAGAAAAGATGCCCCACCCCCTCCTCAAGAGTTACAGCTGATTGGCAGTTGGAAATCTGTCCGATTTTGTCCTGAAGTAATGATGTATTTCTAAATGAGTTTATTCATAATCGTTGGGATGACCGTTTCTGATGAGAAAGATATTTAGCTAAATTATATAAAGATACATACATTCATTATTTCAAACATGAGCACGTAGGAAGTTAATCAGAAATCTTAAGCATGAATTAACTGTTAAATTCTCGTGGCAAATTCACTCTTTCGGAGGACGCATTTAATATACTACAGTATACTTATTTTTACCACCAATAAGTTATACTAAGACATATTACATAAAAGTAATACTACATTATGCCTAAACTAACATTTTTAATGATCAGAATCACTGAAATATGAAGTTGTTCACAGTTATATTTCCCACCTCTGCTAACGGTTGTGTAATATTTCAGTGTTATTCTGATCTTTTAAAATGTTAGTTTTTGCATAATGTAATATTACTCAAGAGCTGTACTAACTCTTGAGGAGGGGTCGGGACACAGCTGGGAAAAAGCGCACTATAGTAACCCTATCCCAGTCACAAATATATTCCTGTCTCTATAAAGTGACATAAATGTTAAAGATATTAACACTGACTCTCTCTATATATACTGCAGTCAAAAATCATCATTCTCCTTACCTACGTTAGACACAGTATTGTAAAAAGTGTTAAGGAAATTCTGTAATTGTTTCAACATTTTACATTCAACATTTTTTTGTGACTTTGACCTCTGACAGAGAGAAGTGATTTTCATGTTTAATATTTTGTCCAGTAATAAATTATATTCAGATTAACCTTTATCAAAATATCTGTTTAGCTACACGATTCATGTTCCGACCAGAGACCCACCCTGACATACCAAGGACCCACATATACTATACGGTGTTATATCCATTTATCAAGGAACATACTATACATAGAACTGAATTAGGAGGAGCTGCAACAAACATAAATATGGTAAATATCAGATAAATTTAACAACTACTTCATTCAGCACATCATGGAATACATTTAACATCACTGATCAATTTGTTAATAATCCCACATAAAATGACGTTATTTTCCTGGACTAAATATTTAAGTGAAATGCAAAAGTGAAAATTTCCAAATTGATGTTAAAAATTCTTAAAATGAAACCTGAATTAACTTAAAAAATTATCAGAGCAACACAATACTGAAATTCTGTTTTAAAAATAGTTTAAATAACTTTGTATCATACTGCATTCAAGTTTATGAGGGGCACAATATGCAAAATTCATTGAAAATTTGTCCCTTTAAATATACTAACTATGGCATTAAATTGTAAATTAAATTGCTTTTGCACCACATTATTAAACAGTATTATGACAGTCACCAAAGAGGCATTAGTGTACAGTATAAAAATATTTCATGAACAAAGATTCTACTATCAAGAACACTGCAAGAAAACAATACTGTACTCTTACTGCAAGAAATATAAATTACAGTGAAATACGATGTCAAGTTACACAAGAAGACAATAATTCTACCAAGGGTAAGAAACTTTCAACAGAATATAACACAGAGGAGAGGAGAGTAAGGAAGAGGCGTAGTTTCCCTAGACGTAAGATAGTGTAGTGTTAAGTGATGATAACTGTTCTCTGACATGTGTAGTGCTGCACACTCAGTGTGTGGGGTAAGGCTGTGAAAATAACTTTGGTGTGAGTTTGATTCATGTAGTGTAGTTACCTGGTGAAGCACCTGAGCCGGCCAGTAGTGGTGGCCCCTATGCGGCCCCCACACCACTCCGCGGCCGCACGTCACCGCCTCCTCTGGAACACAGCGGCACCGCGATAAGTGGCACTGGCCCCACACTGGCTCTGGCTCATCACTGGCACTACGTCAGGCAAGTTAGCAAGGGCACCGTGGCACTAACATTACCTGGAGTGGATGCACTGTGAAGCTCCTCAGGGATGATATGCTTATTCTTGTCCGGGGAGTGCGGTGGAAGTGGAGTGGGAGGGTCGTTAGGGGGAGTGGCATCCTCATCATGACGGGTCGTGGTGACCTCTGCACTCTGATGAGACGGCGAAGACGGTGCTGCTGCACTCACACAGTCTGAACTGCTAACATCACTTTCTCCTAAACCACCTGGGGTTTGTGTTGATACAGAGGAATGTGTACCAGACTCGTCACCACTCTGCGTAGCAACAAGTGTAGTACGTTGCTGGACTATTGTAGTCTTGTGCTGAACAACTGTAGTATTACTACTGCAACCACTGCCACTTATTACAACAGGCTGACCGTTCACATACTCAGAAGTCACTACCACAGATGGTGCCGTTCCTTGACCCATACACACAGCTTGGCCCGGACTCACACTGTTGCCAGGAGCTGCATAACTCGCAGTAGCTGCTGTCACAGGTAAAACATGCACACCTGCACCACCCGTCAGTTGTGTTGATGCCGGTGAAATATTTACCACCTTGGCGCCACTGACAACAGTGGTTGTGTGAGGTACAGGAGGACGCACAGCAACCATGGCTGGCATACTCCCTGCTGTTGGTCCTGGAGTCAGTGGGCCCACCATGCCACCAGCAGCACTAACTGTAGGTGACACACCTACTATATGGCCTCCAGATAACTGTAACTGTACAGGGTAAGACATACCAGTATGAGGGTCTGTTGATATAAATGTACCATCTGAAAGCTGGTTTATAACAACACCCTGAGGTGGTGCTGAGCCTACTACAATGGCAGGTGGATTGTGCACTTGGACAGGCAAGTTTGGTAATGTGTTCCCAACCATCTGAACAACATTAATGGCACCTGTTCCTTGAGCAGTTGCTGCCTGCAGCATCTGCCCACCTCCTACCTGACTTGTGACTGTGGCTACCTGTGCCATCTGTCCAGCAGCAGCCATGGTTCCCATTGCACCATATGGTGATACTTGAGTCATGTGAGGGCTGTTCATTACCATATGTTGAGGGACTTTGTTGCCCATGATAATTGCTGGTACCAAGCCTTGCTGTTGATGTTGTGGTGAAGAGTGTGAGGTAGATGATCCTTGTGGTGTGGAGGTGTTGCGTCTTCGCTTGCGGCGACGTCCTCCTGAGGAGCCACCACTTGAAGGAGTGTCTGATCCTGGAGTGGACCCTGGAGTTGAATGTGGAGTGGATGGTGTTGAACCTGAAGTGCCAAGTGGAGTTGAAGTGTTTCTTGTTCTAACATCATCTATGGTTTCTCCTGTAAGTCCAGTAGTGACCACCTGTGCCACTTGAAGGTGTGGAGAAGACTGTGGTTGGCCAACCTGGTGGCTCTGCTGCTGCTGCTGCTGCTGATGATGATGATGATGATGATGCGTGCCCTCTACTGCCAGTGTAGCAGCAGTGGCAGGAACAAGTGACTGACCAGTCATAATGGTACCCTGTGTAAGAGGAGTTGGACCAGTCAACATACCACCTGGGCTAGGCAAGAGACCTGTAGATGACTGGATAATGTTACCACCGTTCTGGATAATAACTGGAGCCTGCATCGTGGCAAAGGTGTTGACTAGCTGCACCACGGGCTGTACAGGCTGAAACTGTTGAAGCTGAGGTTGTAATTGTGGTTGTAATTGAGACTGAAGCTGCTGTTGTAGCTGAGGTTGCAGTTGTTGTTGTAATTGTGGCTGTAACTGAGGTTGTAAATGCTGTTGCATAGGTGCCATTTGTTGCTGAACTTGCATTTGTGGCATGGCAGCTTGTACACCCACAACTCCTGATGTAACAGTTACACCAGTCGCACCACTACCCTTTGTGTTGAATGGAGACGAGACCATTACCATGTTTGTTGGGCCATTACACCCACCACTACTAGTCACAAAAACACTGGTCTGAGCAGGAGGTGGTCCACTCACTATCAGGGGCCCTGAGGCATGCACCAACCCTCCTGAACCACCTCCCCCATAAACAGTTACACTTGTGGAGATAGGACCATTATATATGCCAGGAGACAGAGGTACTGGGACTGCTGCGTGCTGTTGCTGTGATAACTGTTGTTGCATATGTTGCTGTGGAGGTATTGGTGGTGGTGGTGGTGGTGGTGGTGGCTGTTGCTGAGATCCTGGTCTTACTGGTCCCAGAGAAGATGGAACAGGAATACTACTAACTATACTTTGTACCATCTCCAAGGGGGATTGTGTAACTCCTGCTCCAGCACTAACACTAGGGGGTCCAGGTGTAAGGGGTTTGTTGGCTGAAAGACCTTCGCTACTGCTGCCAGGGCCACTTGTGGTAAGCTGCTCACGACTGATTTCTTCACTTTCACACTGTTTTACATTCCCTACATTCTTGTAACATTCTATCTTGACAGATTCTCTTACATTAGCTGCACTAACTGGAGAGGGTTTCAAGCTCTCAATAGGTATACTAGATTCACACTTAATTTTTTGTGACTCGTCTTCTTCCGACTTGAAGCACGATATGCTGTCCTTTTCTTTCTGACGCAAGCATCCAGCCTGAGTGGTAATGGGCATGGTATTAGTGACTTTTGTATTTGTTGTTGGAGTTGAGGAGAGAGTATAGGTGACAGTGGTAGTGTGGACAAGGTTACTAGACTCAACCTTGGCTACTGATGCAGTGGTAACATTGGGAGTCTCTCCATCACTCTGACTCATATGATCACAGGTGACTTCTGGCTGATTGCCATTTCTGTCTTTAGCTACTGAAGGAGTGATGGGGGTCTGAGGGGTCTGGTGATGAGGAGTGGACGTAACAGTGTTGGTCACGGGCGACGAAAAAGTTGGGGTGGCTGTTCTTGCAACACTGGTGTGTGAAGACTGAGTGGGGAGGACAGAAGGTGTGGTAATGATGGTATTGGTAGTCTGAGTGGCAGCCTTACTAACTCTTGCAGGTAAAGGAACATTACTAGGCAATGGGACTACAGCTGGAGAGGATGACATCTGAGCTGTCCGGGTTCCATTATTGTTTCCCACAGCTAATGTTCCAGTCTGAGACTGAAGTTGCTGTTGGGACATAACCACAATTCCACTTGGTGTGGCTGGTGACTGTGGCACTGAAGGGGTTGGTGGAGGAGGTCTAGGAGCCTGTGGAGAGAACTGGCCCATCCCACCACCAGCCATAGTGTTATTCAACAGAGCAGTTTGCTGTGCCAGGTACCCACTAGGGTCATCCATGAAAGAAGGTCCAGGTGGTGGCGGAGGGCCTGGCCCACAATGGTCAGTGTGCATATTCCTAATATCTATGTTAGGACACGGTGAGGACCTCTCTACGGCACCTTTGAAGCGTTTCTTCGCTCGTCCTCCGGTCTTACGCCGTTTTTCTCCATCTTCCCAAAATGCCGCAGGAACTGATGGTTGCTCATTTGAACTTTGAGGCGAAGGCATTGCCCCGGGAGGCATCACACGTGGAGGCATCATGCCAGAGCCTGGGATACGACACATCATGTTGTTCATGAAGTTAGATGGATGTGGTCCAACACCTCTCATGCCTGTCATCATATGTGACCCAGGCGCCATCATAGCTGATGGAGGCGGTGGTGGGGGAGGGGCTGTCAAGTGCTGTTGTTGCTGCTGCTGTTGTTGTTGTTGGGACTGTTCCTTTTGTTGAGTTTGTTGATGATGATGATGATGATGTTGTTGTTGTTGTTGTTGTTGTTGTTGTTGTTGTTGTTGTTGTTGTTGTTGTTGCTGTTGTTGCTGTTGTTGTTGTTGTTGTTGTTGTTGTTGTTGCTGCTGCTGCTGCTGTGGATGATGTTTCTGTGGTTGATGATGTTGTTGCAGTTGCTGTGATTGATGTGATTGATGTTGATGTTGCTGTGATTGATGGTGCTGTGACTGATGCTGCTGATGTTGTGATTGATGCTGCTCAGGCTGTGACTGAAGTTGTTGTTGTTGTTGTTGTTGTGGCTGATGCTGCTGTTGGACTGGCTGGTGTTGTTGTTGCACTGAAAGATGCTGCTGTTGCTGTGGCTGCTGTGGTTGTGGCTGTGGCTGCTGGAGTTGTTGTTGAGGCAGTGGCTGGTGAGGACTCTGCCCCTGAGGCCTCACACCACGGAACACTGAAGGATCTCCGGACCGACACATGTTGGGGAGCACCATCTCCCCAAAACCTGGAGCCATAGTTGGTCGTATTCCTGGCCCCATGGTTGGTGTCATGTTGGGCCCTGTCATGGCATTCATATTAGGTTGAAAGTGGTGGTGGACGTCACAGCAGGAGTGAGAAGCTGGGGGACAGTGTTGTTGAGGGTAAGGGTGACCACATCCTTGAGGGGTGTTCATGACGCCAGGCCGACCAGTATATCCTCCCCCACCTACCATGCCTGCCATACCTCCCATCATCCCCCAGTTCTGAAAAATATAAAAAAGGAATCACACCTACTGTAAGTTTTACCCAATATGGATATTAATTACCATTTACTATCATACATAGAATAATTACATGTTACCTGCATTTTGTATTTGTAAACTATACAGTACAGTACAGTATATACGTACTAAGAAATTAAGGAATGATTCGATACAAAGAAACTTAAACTATTAAGAGAAAATGAGCCTGGGTCAAGATTTACTCACTAGCTGTGTTTAGGCCTACCCTGCACAATACAGCCTACCTCATGATTTTACTCATAGGGTGCTGACATAAATAATTAATATCTGAACAAATAATTTACTCATTATTCATATATAAACAGGTGCATGGGGAACATTTATTGTCATATACACTGATGAGGCTGAGAGAGGTTATGGTAAGGAAGAGAAGTTGTTTATATGAATGAAAGCAATTACAACCACTACAACTCTCAGGTCTAGGTAATTGGATGATCACAACTGAATGAATTACCAATGTACAGTTGCAGATAAAAATTGCCTGAACACTTGGTAATATGTGACATGTACTTCTGGTGTGGTTGGTTTACCGTGCATAATAATGTTTCCCATCAATATGTCAGAACCACACATAAACAACACTCCTTAAGCCCTAGGTTAGGGTGCTGCTGGCAGTAACCCCCCCCCCCCCCTTTGTGGGGATAAAGCAAGAAAAAATAAATAAACGTTTCCAAAAATCATATTAAGAAAAAAAAATAAATATAATAATAATAAAAAAATAAAAATAAATAAATAAATAACAAATAAAATGGCAGGAAAATAGGCGGACATTCTGGAACGTCACCCGGGGCCTAAGGGTTAATACAGAGAAAAATCTGAGAAAATACATTAAAATTGCCATCCTCTTGAGGTAATGAGCCTCAAGTCTTTATATGGTACAAGATACAGCCAAGTGTTCAGGGAATTACATCCACAAGTGTTCAGAGGCAAATAAATTTAGTCATGATGTAGTGTGTGATGAACACTTGTACACCACACAACCAACCTCTGATGCTCCTCTTTCCTAGGTGTCATGGTCTTACAACTCTGCTTTGGAAAATAAAAGAGAGAGAAGGCATACAGTGGGCATTAATACCAACACTGGAGGTCGTGACAAAGAAATAACTGACCGCTGTTTGGCCGATAAGATGATGGAAATGATAGAGTGGACCTCAATTTAAAGGCTATATGGAGAGGAAAGTTCATTATATCGAGGCTCCCTTAGATGTGACCCCCCCCCCCAACTATATGGAGAGGTAAGTCCAGAAAATGAAAGTTTGGCTGTAAATAACTTCTTCTCTCGGACCATTACTCTACAGTCTAACACTTGGTCAAAAACTATTAAAGACAGAAAACTTCACATGCCAATATATGATAATAAATAATATAATCAAGTTCTCCAAATGGATCTTGAATTGATATGACTCAGCATGTTGTCAGATAATGATGGGATAGTTTGTATACTAAAGACTCTAGTAATAAAATATATATTACAACAATAAACCTCTATGTTAGGAATGGATGACCTTACCTGTTGTTGTTGTTGTTGTTGTTGTTGTTGTTGTTGTTGTTGATGTTGTTGTTGTTGGAATGCATGTGGATGATGATGATGATGTTGTTGTTGTTGCTGCGGGTTGAACTGCGGGATCTGTGAGGGTGTGGGGGCTCCTCGGGGCATCTGTGTTGGTGTGGGAGTGCTGCCACATACCATCTGGGCAGGTGAAGGTAATCTGGGAATATGTACAGCATTGTGAGGACCACATGCCATCGGTGAGGGTGGGGCTGCTCCCCGAGGCATCCCTGCAGGATTGGGTGTCCCCCTAAGTATCTGAGAGGGGGTTGGTCCTCGAGGCATCTGGCTGGGGGTCTCCACAGCTTCTGGTGCTTTCCGCTTTCTTTTTTTCCGTCCATCCTCTGAAATACAGGAAAATGAATTAATATCTTAGATTAAACGCAAAGAGGCTAATCAGCAAATAAACCAGCTCAGTAATGCAACATGCTAAGTCTAGATAATGAATGACCCTTGACCACGTTTCTTACACTTGCCAGGATCACAGTTGACTATTGGAAACAATGGCACACATACCCATAGAGTTTTCTACTAACTCACAGGTAAGTTACACTCACACAATTACCCATTTATAGTACAGTACATCACTAAAACACACAATACAAATCAGAAGGCCCATATGAATCCGTTTGGTCGAGTCTAACCCCTAATCCAGTAAAAAAAAACAAAAAAAATAAATAAAACTCCAAAACTCTTGGAATGGCCAGTTAAAGGTTACAGATCATTCTAAGAGAGTGAATGCAATAACTTTTAAAGAAGAACGACTGACCTTTGACTCAGTGACCATAACCTCTGATTGATGTTGACACTACACAGGGGAGGAGCAGCTTCAGGGATAATCCTCAACAATCTATTCTTGTAGAGCAACGACCAGCACCAACTAGTGTACAGTACATGATAGAGCGATGAATCTATCCACAGTCATCAAGTGTGTGTGTGTGTGTGTGTGTGTGTGTGTGAGAGAGAGATTAATACCTCTGTATTTTACTACAAACTATAAGACTTGACAGCTCTTGGTTCTACTACTACTATTACCACCAAACTATTAACACCACTACTACTGCCACCAAGCTACCACCATCACCAGTTACCCTCCCCCCCAAAGCAAAAACCACCCCCACAACCACCATTACTACCACTAACCACCCCCACAACCACCATTACTACCACTAACCACCCCCACAACCACCATTACCACCACCAGTTCACAATACTCCGAGTCTTTGGAACGCTTTTAGCAATTCGAGAGATTTCTGTCGCACGTAATTGTAAAATCAATAGAAACGCTGAACCTGGAAAGACCCCCCAGTGCAAACCCCACGTTGACAAGGGCAGGTGGTGGAGGTGAGTGAGTTGTTGGAGAGTGAGTTGTTGGAGAGTGAGTTGGTGGAGGATGAGTTGGTGGAGAGTGAGTTGGTGGAGGATGAGTTGGTGGAGAGTGAGTTGGTGGAGAGATAGTTGGTGGAGAATGAGTTGTGGTGGTGGTGATTATTGCGGGGAAAATTTTGAGAGAAAAGTGTGTGTGTGTGTTCAGATAAATACCTTTGTACATACACAAACTTAAGCACACATGACAGGCCCAGCTGGGATACACACACACGACGACTCCTCCCCCTAATGCTAGAGCGTGGACACGAGGGTACTACATTGCTCTTGTGTTCAAAGCCAATATACTTTACCTCGCTCACTCCAGGTACAACCAGGTCACGGTACAATAAACTGGACAAGAGCATTTCAAGCTTAATGGTACAATAAGCTGGAGTAGCGGCAGATTCGTCCTGGTTGAAACATTCTCAAGAACACAGCTTGAGAGTGAGATATGGGGGGGGGGGGGTGACGTGAGAGAATATTAGAACATAAGAATGTAAGAAACTGCTGGGGGCTTATTGGTCCATACCAGACAGCCCCCGTTAACACCCAGACCCTATACAGCACAGTTCATCTGAGGAGTGAGAGTAGTGTCTGCCCGCTCAGCTAAAGGTGAGAGTCCTTGTTATGTGTAAAGAACGCCATGACTCTCTCCCTCACTCTCCCACCACCAACTCTGTAGTGGGTGTGGGTGTAGTGTTGGTGGGTGTAGTGGGTGTGGGTGTAGTGGGTGTAAGATATGACCACACACAACCCTGGTCACTCTCATATCGTTTTCCAATACCTAAACCTCTCTTGTATTTTCTTCGTCCACCCCCACAGTCTGTTTGGTACTGTGTGGGGGTACTGTGTGGAGGTACAGTGTGGGGGGTACTGTGTGGAGGTACTGTGTGGGGGTACTGTGTGGAGGGTGTGCTGTGGGGGGTGCTGTGTGGGGTACTGTGTGGAGGTACTGTGTGGGGGTACTGTGTGGGGGTACTGTGTGGGTACTGTGTGGGGGGTACTGTGTGGAGGTGCTGTGTGGGGGTACTGTGTGGAGGTACTGTGTGGGGTGTGGGTGGTACAGTGTGGGGGTGTGGGTAAAAATTAATTAGAAAATCATGAAATTGTGTTGAATAGATGGCTTCTGATTCCGCCAACCACAACTACTACTATTACTACTACATTCTACCACAACCACTACTATATTCTACCACAACCACGACTATATTCTACCACAACTACTACTTTATTCTACCACAACTACTACTATATTCTACCACAACTACTACTATTACTACTATATTCTACCACAACTACTACTATATTCTACCACAACCACTACTATATTCTACCACAACCACTACTATATTCTACCACAACCACTACTATATTCTACTCGTACTTCACCAATGTGGTTCCCGGCACCATTAGGTCACCACACAGCCTCACCTGTAAAAGAAAACACCACATTAGTACCTGTATACTGTAAATGTCCCATAGGGTTACTTTATAATGGTGCCATAAAGGGGCCATTGGTATTTAATATTGGGATGACAGTGGGTACAATGTAATGGTTTCAGGGGAGTTACTCAACACACACACTATAATACAAAGCAACAGCCCCGGGAAACTTAAGGTAAAAAGTGTCATCTAATGAAATCCACCAATGTAATATGTCTGAAAAAATTCCTCAAATATGATTGGTCCCCTGGCGGCCATTTTTGTCAGCTACAGAACATCCTCCTCCTCCTTCACACAGTTTAATTACACAAAGTTTAGCGTTTATCGGTCCAGCGGTTCTTGAGACCAATAAGTTTTTTGTTTTACGATGTTTCGTTAAAATTGGTTCAGCGGTTCGGGAGTAAATTATTGATGGATGCATGACTGGGTAGCCAGTCACGGCCACGCACCAGCAACACAGCCAGCCAATGACAACACCCACGGCAACACAGCCAGCCAATGACAACACCCACGGCAACACAGCCAGCCAATGACAACACCCACGGCAACACAGCCAGCCAATGACAACACCCACGGCAACACAGCCAGCCAATGACAACACCCACGGCAACACAGCCAGCCAATGACAACACCCACGGCAACACAGCCAGCCAATGACCAATGACAACACCCACGGCAACACAGCCAGCCAATGACACCCACACCCACGGCAACACAGACCAGCCAATGACAACACCCACGGCAACACAGCCAGCCAATGACAACACCCACGGCAACACATCCAATGACCAACACCCACGGCAACACACCAGCCATGACAACACCCACGGCAACATGACAACACCCACGGCAACACACAGAGCCAATGACAACACCCACGGCAACACACAAAAGCCAATGACAACACCCACGGCAACACACACAAGCCACATGACAACACCCACGGCAACACAAGCCAATGACAACACCCACGGCAACACACAAGCCAATGACAACACCCACGGCAACACACAAGCCAATGACAACACCCACGGCAACACACAAACCAATGACAACACCCACGGCAACACACAAAATAATAACACCCACGGCAACACACAAATGACAACACCCACGGCAACACACAAGCCAATGACAACACCCACGGCAACACACAAGCCAATGACAACACCGGCAACACACAAACCAATGACAACACCCACGGCAACACACAAGCCAATGACAACACCCACGGCAACACACACACAAATGACAACACCCACGACAACACACAATGACAACAACACCACGGCAACACACAAGCCAATGACAACACCCGACAACACAAATGACAACACCCACGGCAACACACAAGCCAATGACAACACCCACGGCAACACAGCAAGCCAATGACAACAAACCGGCACCAAGATTGACCAAAGGGACATGAAGGCCTCGCCAGTCATCCACACAAGGAATAACCCACTGGGAGAGCCAGTATTAGTGAGGGAGACGCAAGGGGTGAGGGAGACAGGGGGTGAGGGGAGACAGGGGGTGAGGGGAGACAGGGGGTGGAGGTGAGGGAAGACACATAGGGGGGTGGGGGGTCGCTGGTGCCGAGCTGATGAGAAAAGTTTGGTTTGGTGGATGAGGATCAAGAAGCAGGTCCCCACAGTGTGACCCGGGCCTCGTTCTGAAGACTAGATATGTGGTGGTTATACGTTACTCTGTAGTAACACACACACACACACACACACACACACACACACACACACACTTTATCTAACGTCACTCGAAGAGATTACATCTACACACTTTCTGTGCTATCACTCGGAAGAGAGAGAGAGATAATTCACCAATGCCTCGTTTATTATCTCAATGTTGTTGTCCTCAGTATCACTTGAGACATTATCCTCCACCGTGAAATACCCGAAACAGTTCCTCGTGGGAGTGTGTGGGTTTGTTGTCATCTGTCGTGTACACAAACATCTGGGCCGACCTACCCAACAGTCCCGCTAACCTTACATAACGATAGTGTCAGCGCAGTCTCAAGTTTATAAGGCTGACAATACCCCTTATACAACACTGTGAGGGTCGTCCTTATGGCCTGTCCGTCCGTGGTGTGTCCTTATCTTGCCCCGGACGACTCGAGTAAGACCTCACAATATTCTCCTGGCGGGTGACGGACAGCGACTCTGTTTTTATCTTGGCTGTTCCAGTTTTACAAATTTCTATGGGAATTTTTCCGTGTGGGGCGAGGCTGTGGGGCGGGGCTGTGAGGCGAGGCTGTGGGGCTGTCAGGAAGTGAGCCGAGCCAGCGTTACATTCAGATAAAAAAGAAACTTGTTATTGTGGTTCTTGGCTCGAGCGGCTGGCGTATAAAGCGGACATCTTCTGATGCTCTCTAGTGGCCTGAGGACACACACACACACACACACACACACACACACACACACACACACACACACACACACACAGACACACACACACACACACACACACACACACACGAGGTAATTAGTTTACACAGAACATAAAGGCGTGACAGCTAAGA